ATCCTGTTGACCTGTTCCAAAAGCTGGTGCCGACCATTTTTGCAGAAAGAATCTCGCTCCTGCGAGTCATATTTTTGCGTCACTGATGGTGAGATCGAACCCGTAGTCAATAAAAGTGCGGACATAACACTTCGCCCCTGAGCGCTCTCTTCTATCCGCCGAAGTTCTTTTCATGTCGTCAAATAACAGACTCCCAGAAAACCCACTCAAATACTCTTTTTAGCTTGAGTTTGTCCTCTTACCCGAATAGGTTGTGGTGCTTTTTCATCCCACCAGGAAGTCATCACCATTATTTTCGTCAATTTTTTGACGTGAGTCGCTTTCGAACGTACCCTAATTTCCGGTAGATAAGCCCGCGCTAATATCACGTAAAAACACCTCCGCTGGTGCAGTGCACTTGCGTACATCTAGAGACAACCGTAACTTGCCCATAGGGGTAATTCGATATGCTGATTACGAAAACGACATTCATTTTTAGCGGTGGCGCCATCTGGCGCCAGTTGGCGTCACCTTGTCACGACCCTTGTTTTCACCAAAATCGGTGTAAACTTCTGTATAGGGGTTATTTGGTGCCCTGATTACGAATATGACATTCGTTTTTGGCATTAACGTTGTTCAACGCATATTTCTCGGTTGGAGAGCGCAGACGAGCAGAAAATAGGCACCATGTGACGCCAACTGGCGCCAGATGGCGCCACCGCTAAAAATGAAAGTCATTTTCGTAATCAGGGCATCGAATTACCTCTATAGGCAAATTTACGGTAGTTTCTAAGGTGTACAAAATTACACTGCACGAGCGGAGGTGTTTTTACGTGATATTGGCGCGGGCTTATCTACCGGAAATTAGGGTATTTCGGCCGTCACCACTCATACGATGGAAAGCAATAAATAGCGCTCTCAGATGTAAGGTGTCACCCATAAGGAACTGAAAGGTGGTGCTTTGAGGAATGGACCTCCTCTGAGATTCGTAAGGCCATTTTATTGCCCATTTCGCCGACTAAATGCTCCAAAGCACATTCACCTGGTGTCAGCTCATATACGCCACCTCTTAATTTTTTGCGTATTTTTGATGTGAGAATGGTTAACTTCCCAGAGATTACTAGAATCAAAAAAAAAACTCACATTGGGAAAGCCTCTATAAGTGACCTGGACATGTGCCAACTCGACTGATCCGCGTTTTCCAATGATCCGCCCACTTGCTAGACGTAGAGATCGCGTGATTGCTTGCGTGGTCCTTCGCGACTGCCTGTAAACTGCTGCATTGGAATGAATGATGTCGGTTCTTCAACTGGTTTCGATTCGTTTGGTTTGTTGTTTCTCTTTGATTAAATTGGTGCATATCGCTGTTTGTATTGGTGCACATGCGATTGCACGAACCAGCAATAAATGCCGACGGAGCAAGCCGGTTCGGACAGCTCGTCCAGGCCCACCCCTCCTTATTTTGAAGTGGAAGAAAGGATGTGCTTGTTTGAGGGCTTCATCGGCGGTTTTCTTTGTTTCTTTTTTTCTTTTACAGTCAAATATGGGCATGAGTTGAAGTACTTGCAAAATCGCGCCCGTCCCACCACAGAAAGAGAAAAGGCGTCGTCGTGAATGTGCTAGAGCTTGACCGATGCTCAGCAGGTTGACTTGAGTCGCTCAGACAAGCCTGTACATTTTTGAAACACAAAAAAACATCTTGCTCTTCCTCTATAAGCCTACACCTCTGCGATTTTGAGTTGCAGCCGAATGCATGGCTCATCCTGATAAAACTAAACAAAGTCGACCTTCTGTACCCTTTTTATGTAGTGATCGTTGTTTTATACTGTCATGCATTTTCGAGCTTTTCAGGTCTCAAATTTGAATAGATTTCGTTCGTCACATGTCAATGATTCGCAGCATTTGATCCGTCCATGATTGAATGAATACTTACAGATGAAAAAGTTTTTTGGACGGAAGAAACTTCGGAAATCGAAATCGGATATCGTCGAAAAAACGGAACAAAATGGACATGGTAGCGCTCCAGTGGACATACCTCAATCAAAATCGACGAACATTGTGAAGTAAGTTGCAACACGTATAAGTTAGTTTTGCATCTCTTTCAAAAAGCAGTAGGTGCATCAGGCGCCCTCTCATACAAGATGCTTCCTCGCTCCCTCTCCTCGTTGCGCTGTGCCTCTCTGCCTTACCGCAGTTGACTCACAGGGGATAAAGGCCCGTACTTTCATTGTTTTTCTCTTGCTTTTTTTCCTGCTGGCGATCGTCTTCATATCACCTCTTCGTTTGCGAGCGAAATAACCACAAAATTTGATCGTGTGCTCTGCCTTTAAGTAGTGGTATTTTATAGATTTCTCACACATTTTTACCTTGAGCTTTTTTTCATTCCTGTACGCGAAGGGCCCTCCACAATGAGAGCTGCCCATAATTTTAGAATGCTTAGACAAGAGGTTTCCTTCAAAGCAAAAATCGATCTTATGGGCTACCACTACTTAACCATGGTGGGTATACTGCAGATCGAGGACTTATCTCAAAGGAGAGCAGAGGCGAACTCGAATATTCGAGGAGGAGGAGGGGATGAGAAACGATCTACAGTGATTTTCGAAAATTGGGGCATAGGATTGTCAAAGGATCCGAATAATGTCCGGAACTGTTCATGCATTTTTGCTGTTTTTATAATATTTCCCAATTTTTTTTTTTTTTTTCTGAATATTTTCCATAGCCCATCCTTGCTACAGGGATATTACTACACTGGTGTGCAAAACTTAGGGACGAACGTAGCTTTTCCAACGACGTGTTACTGGCGCGTAACATGACTCTATGGAACCTAACCACACATACAAAGAGCTGCCACAGGGCACTAAAGAAAGCAGTTAACAGGAACCGTTAAACGGTCCACAAAGCTATCAAAAGGTTATGAAAACGTATGTAAATATAAGTAAACAAGTGAATATCAATTAATATATAGGTGTGAGTCTGAAAACGACGTTTACTAACTTTCGAGGAACTTTCCATTGTTCGTCTACAGTTCGTGGACTGAACTCTTCTTCCGAATGAGAGATTTTCTTCTCAACAAAGCTCGTCATTGATTCTTGTGTTGAATACTACGCCTCAGGGCTACTTTAGACAAACTTGCTTTTTTTCTGTGGTCCTTTACTATGAAGTAGTGAAAATGGAGTTTGGGTAGGGCGGCACTCCATTGAGCTCTCCAATGCTAAGGCTATGGATAAGAGCGCTCGTGACACGTATTCGACCCATTTAATAAATTTCCGGGAAGTACCGCTATTGTGGGGAAGTGCTTCGAAGGGGTCTTCCCGCATAGGCCATCCTCAACTGAGGGATAGGGGGGAATAGATATCCTTACCTAGGCCTAAGCGCGTGGGAACCCTACTGTGGACGACAATGTGCCAAAAATTACCTAGGATATGAGCAGGATGGGAAAATCTGGGACACATGCCTGCCTCCATCGAAAGTGCTCCTAGAATGGGTTGGTCACTTTTTATCTTGTCCTTAATATTGGCGAGCCCAAAGGAGTGCTCTGTGGCACAACAGATAAGACAGCAGGTAGTGCCCCCCCCCCCACCAAACTCCATTTTCACTTTGTGAAGTATTACTTCATGGTCCATTTGAATAAGCCTTCATTGTCAGGATTTTCGTTCTCCAGGGTTGCCTGCTGAATGACGCCAGAGAAAAGGACTTTTTTCTGTATCTACCCAGGATCGAACAGAGCTTTATTCTAGGTTCCTGGTACATTCACGGGTACTTGACTAGGGCAGCTGAAGGCGGCTTCTTTGAAAACGGCCAGCTAATTCATCGCCTGAGCGCATGACTGCAGACCATCATATAAAACCGTTTCATCTCGGGCCATTCTGCGGGCAACCCTGGAGGCCGATATTTCTGACAATGAAGACCACTTCAAATGGGCCATGAAATATTAGTTTACTGCAGAAGGCCACAGAAAAAGGAACCGAGTTACAGCTCCGTCCCCTTTATTGAAGTCCAAATGCAGGTTTTTTTTTTTTCAGAGGAACAAATTCGTTCAGAAAGTTCAGAACAAAAAAAGCATGTAGAACTTTAAACAACAAACAGATGAGTTTGCAAAGTTGTAAGTCATTATGCAATTATGTATGTTTGCAGAACTTTTGGCCTGTGCAGCTTTGTTTTACCCCTCCATTCCATATAATAAATATAGTAAATATAATATTACCAACCAGGGCATACTGGTGCGAATGAAAAGCTCAAAATCTCTTTCTATAAGCAAGGAAGTGATATCCGTACGATTTGGTGGGAATTTTTTGATGCTGGCTTCTGAACCCGATCATTCCCACTAATGGCGAAATGCTATCAACTGGGGTCGTAAAAGCGAGCTCACGCTATACTTAACGGCGCTCCGGGGGATGATCGCTTCTTCAAAAGCCGTCCACACTACCCAAATGCGAGTCCTTTCCTATGCCACCGCCCAAGCCTCCGCCGTTCACAGCCGCTGTCCCAAAAAGGTTTGAAAAATTAGCACGATTTCACAAATTTAACTTCACCAAGACTTCGGTTCTACGTACAGTACCGTCAAAAACCAAACCACCACAGACGTGTCTTGCCATGATTCTGATAACGCTGGTATTTTTGGCTAATTTTCAACAAACAATTTTTCGTGTTCTATCGGTTCCCATGCGAGGTGGCGGTAGGCTTGAGATTCACCCTCATCAATGGGGATAGTTTTTCATTGGAAATTTACAAAAGTGGCAAATTTTCAGGCAGCTCATCCATATTTTTTAGCTGAAGTTGTTCCCCAGCTGTCTTTTTTTGTGTAAGCAGATCGTAGTAGAAAGGAATATTTCTTTATGTGATAGTGATTTTGTTGAAGTGCGACGGTATGGTTTTGCTGAGTGGAAAAAGGGTTATTCTTTCATGTCTGGAAAACAGAAACAAAATGATCATTAAACGGCGAAACAATTTTTTTTCCGCAAAGTTTGGGGCGAACTTTCATGTTATTCTTAGTGATTACTGCAAAATCAGCAAAAAATATAAAGTTCAATCTGATTCATGGCAAAAAACGTTTGCGGTGATTTCTTTTTGACAGCGCTGTATTTTCAAAACATTTTATAAACGAATTGCATGAAAGGGTGAAGCAGTTTTTATCGGGGGAAGCCGATCCATAGTCTATTCAGTGATTCTATCCCGCCAAACAAGGCCTGAGGTTGATTTCGGAAGAATCTAAAGCTTGCTTGAATGCATCAATGTTGTCATCCAAACAGCCTGAATGAATGCTTCCTGCTTGGGTTGACCATGCCCTCTGTATGTTGCAATATTGAATCAAAGTCCACAGTGGTGGACAACACTAACCATGCTCGAAAAGAGACAAAACGCAGTAACCAAAGAAAAAAAACGAATAATTGAGTGATGAGGAAATTTTTTTCCTATACTTTCAATGCATGAATCAGAAGTATTGGAATCCTCATCCCATGGAAGCTCCTAACCTTAAAGGCACAGTCCACGACTTCTTGAGTGTGAACTATGGAACGAAAAATCAAATCAGGGCTGTTAGCTAATGAAGAGAGCAAACAGCACTGCAGAAACTCTTGAAACCATATTGTTAGTCATGTTCTGGCTGAAATCGCCATCTTCTAACTAGAAGCGCAAACTCTTTCTCACAGCCTACCGTATCAGAAGAGCGTCAACCAATGTGAAGGCGGCACACCCTTCTCACAAAATGAAATGAGTGTGCAGGCAGTCTTAAAGTGATTGTCAGCAGTTCGAATGCGCTCTCTTCATGCTGATCATCCGAATCAACACTACGTTTTCGTCTTCGCATAACTTACCGCAATTAATCAACAGAAGCTTCTTTTTTACAGAAAAAAAAAAGTTGTCATTCGCAGCCCCTGATCAGTCTTCCTAAAATAAAAAAAAAAATAGTTGCACTTTTATCGTCTAACCCGACAAGCCCATGTGGCGGCAACGAAGTCACCAGTTAGCAGACGAGATCGCAGCGCGTACTGTACTGAAAGTTATGTTAAATCCGACATTGTGCGTCTTACATCGCACATGCATCCGCTCGAAATCATCCGCTCTCCGCTTCTACCTCGCGCGACCTCCACTGTCGCGGTAACCGGATTATACGATGAAATGCATCTGTATAGCTGATTTTTAGCCACATTCCGTCGTCCTCTGACGATTGGGAAGCAGTGTGCTCATCGCATGGCGAAGAGCGAATCAAGAATTTCGATTCGGAGCTGGATCGGCATCCGATGTCAAGTACATGATCAAGAAAAGCAAATACACTGCACTCAGTAAGTTACTTTTGTTTCCCACGTAAAGCCGAATTGAAAATAAATAGCCTTCTATAAAAGTAAGTGGATAAATGGTTACTGAACCATCCTGATAAGGTTATGAAGGGCAGGTTTTCGGTGTCAGATGGTCCATACTGCTACAGCTAGCCCACCCAAGAAATCTTCTATTAGATCTCGTGCAAACACCTTGACAGTTCTTAATTGAAGTCGAGTGGGTGGCGCAATGGGAATCTCCTGGAAGAATCTGTCAATCCTGGAGCTTCCCTTCGTTACCTTTTTTGTTCAGCTCTGTCGCTCAATTCGCGTGACGTGAGTAAAGTACGTGTAGCGGGTCTTTTTTTTCAAAATGCGCCGTGCACGTGACTGCAAATTTGAATCGTAAGGGTTTAGTGATGGATCGTTTCCCTCGGAAATACGTGATATACGTGGTACCCTACTAGAATTTGGGTGGTCAGTGGTGCCGAGATGAAGAAAAAACCATGAAAAACGGCTTGGAGCCCGAGAAATGGCCCTTCTTTGCTTCGATTTGCGCATTGATGCGACTCTCATCGGTGCTGCTCCTCTTCAACGCTAACGCTCTCTCTGCTGAATGGCTAGAGACCTGCGGCGAGTGGTTAGCCAGTCAATGGGCGTTCCTTGCCGTTAGCGCCGCGGGAAGGGCCATGGCAGGTCGTCGGGGGTGTATGGTTTTAGGGGGATTTCGTGTCGTTTGGCACCTCTTTGTGTCCGCCTTTCTTCCTATTATGTGACTTTTCCCTACTTCGACCTTCGACGTTATCTTGGTATCCTCATTTAAAGTTTTGCGAGTTGTGTTGCAACATTCATCTATGAACTTTTTTTAGGTGAAGTGAACTTTCAACGGGGATGCTTAGATGCTCACAACGATCTGCGACAAAGGTTAGTTGGCGTGATTGAATTGTTTTCGTGATTTCTCTACTCTCCTTCACCATGAGTTACTGCTTCTTTGCGATCCGGAATCAGGAGAAAATGATTGTGTGGTATGGCCGTGTTGAATATAAAATTTGGAAGGGGAGGTGGACATGCGCATCAAACCTACCCATTTTACATACGACCGTAATAGCGTTCCTATTTAGAGCTTTCCAGAATTACACTCGTATTTCCGCTTATAACTTTACTATATGGCCGATGTCAGACTTTGCGAATCGCGCGATTCGCTAGCGTCTGCGGTCGCGTCGCGGCCAGTGAATCACTCAATTGGCTGGTACCGCAACGCGACCGCGGACGCTAGCGAATCGCGCGAATCGCTAGTAGCGAATCGCGCGATTCGCAAAGTACGTCGTCTTAACATCCGGCCTATCGGAACCCTACTATAATATACCAATAAATACCATTTATTAATATGCTAATTGTTTGCTGTCCAAATGCGCTCTTGATCAGCGGTATAATCGAGAAATGTACCCTCGCCTTCAAATAACCAGAAATTGTGCAATTGCAGAAATTGACGTGGCATCGATTCAAGAACATCTTTGAGCACACGTGATGTCACCTTTTCATCGAGAATTTAGCAGCCAGAAACCACGTGGCACACGTGGCTAAATTCTCGATGAAAAGGTGACATCACGTGTGCTCAAAGATGTTCTTGAATCGATGCCACGTTAATGCCACGTCAATTTCTGCAATTGCACAATTTCTGGTCATTGAAGGCGAGGTACTTCTAGAAAAGGCCTTGTCACACCCCCAAACATGGTAAGGCAGACCAAAATTTGCAGCAGCGCGTGGCAATTTGCGTGAACAAATCAGAAGACAAATTGTCCTCTCATGTCAGCTAAACTACTTCCTCCTTGAAAAAGAAATTAATTCTATGCTTTTCAGATATGGGGTTGCCCCATTAATCTGGTCAGCAGAATTGGCCGATATGGCTCACGCATGGGCGGTGAAGTTGTCGGACAGGGGAAGGATGCTGTATCCTGAATTGCCAGGTGAGATTTAAAGCAACAGTCCCAGCAGGGTCTGCTTCTTTCAAAACTAATGGCACTAAAGGATGCACAGGCCCTATTGGAGAACATCTAAAGTGTAGTTATAAAGAAAACCCACCTGGGAAAAGCCTAATAAGGGCGTTAAACTCCTCAAAGATGGGTGTGGTTGGAGATTTCTTCGGGACCGCCCACTTGCCAGCCGTGATTGGACGGAGGCATTCGCGCTCGTTTTGGGACCACAGGGAGTATTTGAACTCTGTCCTTTAAAGTAATCAATGTGATCCTGCCTGTTACACTGGAATTGTTTCTCTTTTTTTGTTGTTGTGATGTTGTTATGTTATGTATAGTTATGCAACTGGAGCGCATTAAGTGGGGCAAGTTCAGACAACTCGTCCAACGCGCGTCTTCCCACATCTCTGAGCGCCAGAAGGGGAGTCCCTGTTTAAAGCCCTGTTCGGCGTTTTTCTTTGGTTTTTTCGTCACTGTCGGTCAAATTGTCGCCTATAACTACATTATCAACGGTATTTAACCCGCAAATTCGTCCTGGGATTGTTGCTTTAAGTACTTATTTTTTTAGTGACTGAGAAAGCCTGCTAACAAACTAGGCCAAAAACCCTCCGTGTTTGGAGTGAGGGTTCAAATTTTGAGCGTGTAGCAAGGGTGCGTGATTATTCGTCACTCAAGATAATGTGCTGATTTGCTGAAATTTGTTATGCTGATACACCAAATGAAAAAAAGAAGGGATCAAGCTTTCGTTGATCCTTTGTTGGGATGCGGAACTTCTATTTGTGCATTCGCAGTGGCGTTTGAATGCGATTTATCCTATACAATGACTCCTGGGAGCCCGCCGATGTGCGAGTTAGTTTACCTCCCCAGACGTGTCTTATACCAGTTGACGGAAGACCTTAAGGTAAATGGAGGCGTTGCTTGGCCGGGCCCCGACACACGACCCCAAATCGGTCCCGGACTGCGTGCTTCTGTAAGCAGTCACTTGCAACAGCATTCCATCATTAGCTAACATCTTTTCCGCCGTGAGTAATCAATAAGTGCAAAAATATAAGTACTCAAAAAGAAGGAGAAGGGGAGTGGGGGAAGGACATAGAGAGGAATATGTTCACCTTATGAAAAAGCTGTGGAAATACTGGCTTGATTTCTGTTGATGACCAATCTTTTTTCATTAGGTTAATTGTGGGCAGTTTCTAGTTTGTTGTATAGTATCTCCATGAAGGGACATACCACCCGTGTGAATTGTGAATTATACATCATAAATATAACTTACTTTTTTCAGGAATAGGCGAAAACATCTTGTTGACGGATGCGAATGACCACACGCATTTGCCAACAGGAGCGGAGGTGGTCACACGTTGGGAGACGGAGGTTGATCAGTTCGACTTCGATCGACCGCGATGGAGTCCGAGTATGTTTGAATTCGTTGTGTTGAGATGGGCAGGGGCTTTTATGGGCTCCATGGACCAATGAAACCAGTGAACCCTCCGCAGTGAATGTTACTGGTGCGCAATCGTCTGCGTCTCGCTAATGGCTCTGCCCTCTCATTCCATTGATGTCTTTCCCCTCAACTAGTGTTCAATATTTTTTCAGAGTATGCTTTTGCGATGCTTAAAGCAACTGCGAAAAGAATGGTTTTGGACGTCTTTATTGGATATCTTGTATTTTTTTTCACTTTCGGGGCCTTCATATCTACAGTATTATACAGTAGCGGTCAAAAAGGGCTCTTCGTAAATCACATTCTTTTCTATTGAGTGTCTGAAGACTGACTAGCGATTTGGCTTACAAATGCTTTGAATTCTCGAAATCATAAATTCAAAAAGATTCGAGCACCCAAAAAAACATTTCAGTACCATATGGGATTTTTTAGTTGACAAAAACGAAATGCACGTACCCTAAGGCTTCTGACCGTTCTGTTTGAATCCCATGTCCCCCTCCTGTGATCGCCTGGTTGCCTTTATGTTGCCCCGACCATTATGAACAGCCCAGTCACTCCTGTGATGAAATACCTCTCGTGTACCTCAGCGATAAACAAAGGTATCAAGTAGGAACACAGCCGTACTTCTATTATTGCCATATCTATTACCTTGTTGACAGCAGTGAATCAAAGCTTGATAAATGTCCTTTACGAAGCTCAAGCTGCCCCACCCCACCCCCGCACCCTCTCCCCCCTATCTGACAAATTGATGGACTTACCCAATGGATTATATGCGGAATTGACCTTGTGCCTGTCTGCCCTTAGCAAGTGAGTGAGTAAATCAAACAAGTAGACAACCAAATGAAAAGAGCGTTTGTAGTAATTGGACTCGAAGCCTGACTCCGTTGATTTTCGCCTTTTCAAACTGTCTTTCCAGAATGTCAACGCTTCTCGCAGATGGTCTGGAGGGATACTACCGAGCTGGGTGCTGCAAGAGCATGGAACACAGCAAAGAACTGTGTCGCGGTGGTGTGCTTCTATCGACCCAGTGGTAACTCGAATGCTCCGGGTTAGTTATAAACTTCTTGGGGTTAAGTTGTGGGTAGTTTTTAAAAGTTCCTTTTATGCCCACTCGAACTCCCTTGGTGAGCTAACGCATTCCGCGAAAGCACTGCACAGTAGCAATTCATAACGATTGCGATTGTGCGGGGATTTCGTCAATGTTCCCCTTTGACTGTGAAGCTTCAGGGTTTCTTCGGCCTCCACAATCTAAATTATCGTCTCATTGAGGCTCCTTGGCCCAGGTGAGTAACGGGTGAATTACCTCCTGCACAAGATATTTCTTCATAGCGACAGAGCATCAGGCCCATCAATATGCGAATTTTTGTGTGAACCCAAAAATATTTGCTGTTGCTCCAACGCAACGGGATCTGGGCGGGATTCTCCCATAGGCGGGGCTGTCTAAACTTTTTATGTTTTTTTATGAATCATCATTAATCTATCCACAACTTCATCATTGATGAGAAGTATGGTTTTCGGCTTTAAAAATGAGTGCAAACAGTTCAGGAACATTGAAAAATGTCAAATAAATCAGATAAAACTGTGCTGTTTCGTGCGAAATCGTGCGCCACATGGTGGCGCACGCGGTACGCAATGTGTTAGGAATGAAAGAGAATGAATTTTTGCAGGTGAATTTGCGTCCAACGTGCCGTCACGAGACTGCTCAATGTCGCCGGCTCGTAGCCTTGCGGGTCAGATCAAGCGCTCTGTCACAATATCGGCTCCACCCGATCACAAACGGGATACCTAAGATCCACTTGCCATCATGCTTCTACCAGTTCTTCAGAACCACCCACAGCGACCATTCGGACGACTCTCGATGCCCATTCATGGCTTCATCTATGACTATCCACGATCTCCTGACATTCCTCTGTCCTGTTCCTTTTCATATTTAGCCTTCACGCTCTCTCATACTGAAGAGGAGTTCAATAGGCTAAGAATGATCATTATGTGAAATTTTTTGAAGTGATTTAATTTTGGTTTCGAAACCCGCGTGCTGCCACGTATCTGCCCGCCTCACTTACACGACCTTTCTGAGAGTGTGAATTTCTTTTTCTTATAATTTACCAGAGTATTTTTCATCATTTATGGATTTCTGTTTCGAATTTCGACGATTTTATTCGAAATTGTGATCGATTTTTTCGTAATTAGGTGGAGTTTCATATTAACTTTCTAGGGCTTACTCTTGTTTTTTCCTTTGTTTGTTTGTTGTATCGGTCATTTTCCTAATAGCTTTGCACGCGCTTTCTGCTTTCGCTGCCTGTATCGTTATAACCTATGAAACGATCATGCCATTCGTTCCACTAGTCAACGACAATTCTCGTTTTTATGGATAAAGGTTATTGATTTTTCTGTATTTGTTCCTATTTGTTTTAGTGACATATTATTCTGGAGCTTATCCTGGACCCAGGATGAAAATTGGAAATGACAACGGCTCGTCGAGGATTTCGCCTGTTCAGTCACGCTCTCCCGCGCGGATGCTCACTCTCGCCACCCGCGAGCCGTCTGTGCTCTCCGCGCATACATTCACTCTCGACACTCGCACAGTAGAGAGCCATGGTCGAGGAATTCCTCGACCGTTTCTCCCTGCCTGGAACTCAATAGAGGAATTCCGTGGATCTAATGGTGTAATGGATGAGAACACTGCTCCGAAAATATAGGTAGGGGTACTATTCAGAGAGGAAGCGATGCCTAGATATAAAAATATCAGTGTGTATAAAAGAGCGTGAAGGCGCACAATAATAAGCGCGTACAATAATTTTAGGGTGGGCCTAAATGAAGGCGGGGGTGATAAGTGGTGCGCAAGTGGTCAAACAAGCCAAAAAATCTGTCGAAACCCTGAAGGCTACCCTCGTCATTTTTATCGCGGGCTAGTTTGAACTCAGAATTGGCTGCTTGGCTGGAATGACCCTGAAGGAATACATAGCAGGGCAAGATTACAAGATACGGCCACATACAACAGATACGAATGCGCTTTCAAAACGAAGACTGCACGATTATAGCCGTATCGCAGGACCCCAATTGTGGGCGGAGCGATTTCCGGGTGAGGCGACTCCTCAGTTTTTGCGACACAGCTAGCTCTCCTTGTGTCGCGAGAACGGTACCCTTCTCTCCTAGCCACCGCTTGCAGTTGCACTTATACACACATCATCGGCCGCATCCACTTTATCGTAATCACTACCTTCTACAGTGAAGTGGGTGCAAGCGATGATGTATGTATGACGGCGGTGCCGTTCGATGACGTCATGGAACCTCATTGGCGGGGTGCTGCTTGATATAAGAGCGTAGCGGGTGGGGGGAGGGTGGTTGGAATCGCAGATGCGCCCGATCAACGTAGAAGGGAAGAAATTTCAACTCTCATGAGCAAGGAGAACAATTTAAGGGTTTCGTCCAGTAGGGGTGGGATGCATCGTGATGCAAATCACCGAGAAGGTCACGGTAATTCTAATCTTGTTCAGTGACTTCTTTGAAGCCATACATGTTATTGGTTTCGTGGTAACGTCTTTTTTCCAGTCTATTTTGTCTGAAAATCTAAAAAGTGGGTCATGGCGTGCATGATCTGCTCTAATGCCAATTTGCACAAGGAGCCTTGGAAGCTTATGAGTGCTAGCGGCTTCATTTCTAGTCATTTTTTGTGTTTTCTGTATGTAACGCTAGCTTTTGTGATGAGTGGTGCGAAGAAGCACTCCGCGCAATGTGGTCGAGAGCAGGGTGAATATCGCTTGAAGATTCCTCAACGGAACGTCTTCTGCCCGATCAGAGACGATCTCTCGCGGCGATGTTCACCTCGTACTTACTCTCGCCTGGTAGACGCGCTCGGTCGAGGATTTGCCTCGACCGTTCATTACACCCTTGTCGAGAAGGGGGGGGAGCATGGGCATGCCTCGCTCTCGTCAGTGACTAGAGTCGAACTCGAACGATTCCAGGCGTTTCCCCTCATGTCAAGTAACAGTCCCAACCCGCCTGACACCCTAGACTGGCTACACGTCCCTTCTTGTTCACGGATTTCCCTCCGCACTGATATTACATGCCGCGCCGCGGCGGCGGACTTGCCCCCACCCCAAGCCCACATTGCCCGCTTAGTCTTAGTAAAAAGTCGAACAAGGTTGAAGCAGAAGTAGAAAAGAAAAAAGTAATATGTTTTCGTCACTTGAGAGGGCTCATTGAACAGAAACTAGAATTACCGTAACTTTCTCGGAGATTTGCATCTCGATGTCCCCCCCCCCCTTGCTGGTTGAGATTCAGATTCTACTGCGTGAGGCGAAATTCTTGACCGCTGTCTGCGAAATCATATCCCGAAAAAGTAACCCATCACAGGAAAATATTGCAATGGATTTCTCACCCGCAGTGTCCTCTGATATCACTTATCCCCTGTTAAACGCTCAAAGCTTCGCACTTGCGTTTTTCTTTTCATGGCGTCGGCGTAGCTTCTGATTACGTCTACTGTCGGATGAATGGCACCGAGCGACAACAGGATAGCTCCTTATACATCGAGTAAGATTTTTAGTCGCAGGGTGCACGGACTTATGCCATGTCCCATCCTCGTAAGGATGGAATGCGTCAAGAATGGGAAGTGCAGCGACGTCTCATTGACCGATTCTTTTGAATAGAGTGGTCCTATCCTTGTGCCCTTATGAACTTTTTCTTTATACATAGAACACATTTATTCAGTGGATGTGATGGCACCAAGCAAAATCGTTCAAAACTCTTTGTAAACAAATAATACAATTGTACCAAATATTTGGTACAATTTGTGATGTGAGAATCCACAAAATTCAGAGACGAGTTTCACAGAGAGCATTGATCCGTATTGATTAGAACCATCGATCATTGGATTAAATATAAAACAATGTGCACGGAAAGGCCCATCTACTGAATATCGGACAACCCGGAACTTGGCAATATGCACAGAAAAACATTATCATCAGACAATTGACAATGAAAATTCATACAAAAGATCCTCTAGCAAAAACATGGTCCTGAGAGTGGAGCTGATTCAGTACAAAAAAGCACACAAGAAATGCTCAGTATTAGCGTAATCAATATTAAATTGGCGTCAATTTCCGAATTATTTTGCGAGTAGGGGCGAATTCGATGAATTTCGTTTTTGAGGCGCGACAATGAATTGTTGAGGTAGCGCAGTGGCAAAATTCGTCGCGCCACGATTTCTGGGAAAGGTTTTCAAAGCCTTTGATGTAAGTCTTCCAGGTTGTTAATAAGAGAGGTAAAGCTGGTCCTATATCGAAAAGCATTGCATAAACCTGACAAGTTCAAAAACCACACCCGGATGGAAGGGTAGCGTTAGTACCCTGCGCGAGGCGCAAATTGACCCCTTCTCACGCGCTTCAAATGCTTCAATTGCTTCTTGCGCTGATAAATCGCGGCAAAAGTGCTCCACAGCTTCGTCACCTCGAATCAGATAGGGAAACGCGCGTTAAGACTGACCGATTTCAACTATAACTACTGTGAATGGGTTCATAATAAAGCATAGGCGGTATCCCGCAGTAGCACGACGCACGCGAAGAGGTGAGGCATCTTACTCGACTTCTAAAAGTCTTCAGTACAGAAACCTATTCAACGATTGTTGGCTTATTGTCGGAAGCCGAACGCATGGCGCGTTACAAAAGGACCAATCCACTTGGTTGACCATTTCGACTAACACGAGGGGGTGCAGTTTATTTAGCGCCTAATTCGTCGGACAATCGCGGACGCCGTCATTGGTCCATGATCAACCCGTCCACAGTGGTAATTGGTGGAACGAT